TCTGTGGGCACCTGGCACACAAGTGGCACACAGATAAACATGCAGGCAAAACACCCATATACATAAAATCTTAAAAAAAATAGAGAAAAAATAATTAAATTTTATTTCACAGCGGAGTGGTAACACATGACTTTAATCCCAGCACTCAGGAGGCAGAGGCAGGAGGATCTCTGCAAGTTCGAGGACAGCCTGGTCTATAAAGAGTTCCAGGACAACCAAGTTTATACAGAGAAAACCTGTCTCAAAAAAAAAAAGAAAACAAAAACAAACAAACAAACAAAAAACTTTCTCAATGAAAAAAAAACCACCAAAAACTTAAGTTACTGTGTTTTGTTTGGTTTTGGGTATGTTTTAATTTGTTTTTAAATTTGAATGCACGCATGCTGCGTGCATGCTTGATGTAAAGGGCAGATGACGTCAGAGTCTAGAAAAGGCCATCAGATCCCCTAGAGCTACTCTGAGTCGTGACTCATGCATGCTGGAACTATGGTCCTCCAGTAGAGTCGCAAGCACTCTCAACCTTTGAGCCATTTCTATAGTTCGGTTTTGGGTTTTATTAGTGCGTGCATATGTGTGTGTATATGTATGTGTGTGTTGCTGAGATTGAACCCCAGATCTCATACATGCTAGGTAAGCTGCCAAACGCTGAATTACTTCCCTCTCTTTTACTTTTATTTAAATTTTGAGGTAAGAGTTTACTAGGTTATTTAGGCTGGCCTTGAACTCACTACAGAGCTTGGCCTGACTTTGAACTTGTGGTCTTGCTGGGAAATCCAAAAGCCAGAAGATACTGTAAATCAGGAGAGAAACTCCTTACTGAAGCATAGAATAGTAGAAAGCAATGCCTTGTCAAAAAGAGTATTGTGCTACGCCTTTAATCCCAGCACTCGGGAGGCAGAGGCAGGTGGATCTCTGTGAGTTTGAGGCCAGCCTGTTCTACAAGAGCTGGTTCCAGGACAGGCTCCAAAGTCACAGAGAAACCCTGTCTTGAAAAACAAACAAACAAACAAACAAACAAACAACAAAAACAAACAAACAAAAAGAGTATGTGTGCTAGCTTGGGAATCTCTTCCTGTTTATAAAGCCACTGATGCCATTGTGAGCGCCCCACCCTCATGACCTCATCTAATCTCAAAAGCTCCATTTCCAAATACCAACAACACACAGAACCAAGGAGTAGGTTTCAGTACGTGAACTTTTAGGGAGCAAAGGCAGACCATATCAGAAAAGAAGGCCAGAGAGCAGAGGCACAAGGAGTGGTGTGACACAGCCTATGGCCCTGCATCTAGGACTCAGTTGCTGCATTATTATTGTTATTGTTACAGGGTCCAGCTCTGTAGCTCAGGCTGGCTGCCAATTTCCTCCCTAGAATTACAGGTATGTACTGTCACGATTCGGGGGTGAGGTTTGGGAATAACCTGGGGGGGATGAAGCAAAGATGGTTAAACCGAGTGCGGTGGCACCTATGTTGTGTGATGAAACTTTTCCTAGAGAAACGCAGCACAGAAATCGACTCACCCCGACAGGGAACCCAGGACAGACCCGTGCAGCCACCATCCAAGTCCAGTTTACTGAACCCATGAGCTGTCCTGGTGTGACTTCCAGGGATATGGGGGAGAGGTACCTACAGACCAGAAAGGATTCAAAGGCAGCTGCGTCACCAAAGTCCACCCCGGCATGGGTGACAGCTCACAAAAGCTGGAGGCCTGGACACACTGCACATCCTGCAGGCATCTCAACAGGCTGGAGTGTGTCCCTTTTAGGCGTCTCGGGTGATTTTGAACTCTTACAGGGAGCGCCACTGGTTTCTGCTTTTTCCAACTCAAAAAGGCTAGGGATCTGGGGCACATTATACAGCCTGCAGGCAGCTCAACAGGGTGGGGCTTGTCCCCTCCAGGGGCCACAGCTGGTTTAAATCTCTTCCAGGAAGCTTGGTTGTGGCTTCTTCCAGGAAGCTGGTCTGGTCTCAAGTCTTTATTGGAGCTATGCTCATTAGAGTCTTCTCTGCAGCGTGGCTCTGTTCTTCTAAGGGAGACTTCAACTTTTACTGCTTACTCTGGCAAGAAGGGACCTAGTGAATCTGATCAGTTTTGGGGATTTCCTGAAGCTCTTTTGAGTTATTTACCTACCTGTTTAAGAAGCTTCCCGCAGAATAGAGATCTTTTTAATCTAGGAAGAAATTTAACAACATACCTGTAAATTCAGCTCTTGGGAACGGAAGAGGAGTACCACAAGCTAAAAGACTAGCTTGGTTCACAGGGAGTTCTAGGCCAGTGAGGGCTACAGAGTGAGACGGTCTGAAAAAATTCAACCAACCAACAGATCAAACAAACAAAACCCCCAAAGAAATGTTATTCAGTTTTTTTTTTATTCTACGACAAAACACCTGAGAGAATCCGTTTACAAAGAAAAAAGTTTAATATGGACTTTTAATATGGACTTTCGGTTTTCCAGGTTCCAGCCCAAGATTAGGCCACACCCTCCAATTGGTGATCCAAGTGACAATAGTGGGGGGCACGTGATGGAACAAACTGCTTACCTCCGGGCCAAAAAAGAAAGCAGGAAAGGGTGAGGTTCTTACAACAACCTCCTCTGGGGCACAATGACCTACACGCCTCTGACTAGGTTCCACCTTCTAAAGGTTCCTTCACCTCTTTGATGTTTAGGTTGATTGGCAACCTGATGATCTCTAATCACCTGGGAGACAAGTCTCTGGGCATGCCTAGGAGGTGTCATCTGGATTAGGCTAGCCTCTGCTAATGTCTGTTGGGGGGGGGGACGACCCACGCAGACTGCACAAATAGCAGAACGCCAGTGGAGCACCTGTGTTTATCTCTTTGCTTACTGACTGCTGATGCAAAGGGACCTCACACGCTAGCTCCCCTGTCCCCATCATGGACTGTACCCTCAAGCTGTAAATCAGGCTCTTGCTGGGACTAGAGCAACAGCTCAGCAGCTAAAAGTGTGCACTGCTCTTGCAGAGGACCCAGGTTTGGTTCCCAGGACTGATGTCAGATGACTCAACTGTACCTCCTGTTCTTGGGGATCTGACACCCTCTTGTGGCCTCCATGGGCACATGCATGAACATGTGGAAATTCACACACACACACATACACATGCGCGCACATACACACACAAATAAAAGTAAAATCTTTAAAGCTGTTCTTCTCTTAAGTTGCTGTGTCATCAATGTATAAAATATTAATAATTAATGCTACATCCGGGTGGTGCACCCTGAGGACCAAATCTTTAACAAGTGGATGATTAGGGAATATTTACAGTCCAAACAACAGCATAAGACGCGGGGCCTGATAGGTTTGCTCTCCAGAATCGCCCTAGCGCTAGCTGTTGACCCCTTCTCGGGACTGTTCTCCTTGACACACTATGGTGCTGAGATGGAGGCTTGACTACATATCCACCCATCGATCGATCCGTACCCCCAGCTCCACAGACTTGCCTTTCTCTGGTTGTACTTCGTTAATGTTCATTCAACCTATAAGACTAGCCTCAGTAATGCAGGGCTGCCGCTACTCCCGAAGGGTGTCCCATCTGTCTGTTCCCAAGAGCTATGTCCACTGTCATCAGCTTAACGTAGATGGAGGCTTTGTGTGTCTTGTCACAAAGAAAACTAGACCCAACTGGATCTGCTTTCAAAAGCGGTAATTTTCTGTCATTCTGATCCATTATTATGAAAAAAGAAAATTGATGTTATTGAGGTATAATTTATATAATGAACACAACACCCAGATTAAGCGTACTTTCTATCAGTTTTAACAAATTTGCAAACTCACGAAGCTATCATGCAACCAGGACTGAGCTCGGGGGTGGGGAGTTGGCACAGCCGGTAAAGTATCGACTTTGCAAGCATGAGGATCCGAGTTCAGTTCCTCAGCACCTGGTAAAAGCTGGGCAATGACATCTGCAGCCCCAGCACCATCAAGGTACGGACCAGCAGGTCTCTGAAACACACTAGCCAGCCAGCGTAGCCGAACTAATAAATTCCAGAAGCTCTCAGCTTCCCTGAGAGGCTGTGCCTCAGTTAATGGTGGCCAGGAAAAGGGTGTGATTTTGGTCAGTGGTGTGGCCACTGGTAAGTTAATGATACTCCTGTAAATAACCTCCTACCTACAGTCATACAAATACCCTAATTAAACTCAGTGGATCACACGTTTTTAAAAACAACATGAAGGTGAAAAGGCGATTTATTGGGAAGAAAAAGGTTTCAAAGGGAGGAAGAGAGAGGGTTTAAAGGGGTAATAGGCAAGGAATGTATAATGTTCGTTATATACATGTATGAATCTTAATGAGGAATTATCTAGATCAGGTTGGTCTGTGGGCATGTCTTGATTGCAGAATTGATATAAAAAGACCTAGCCCACTGTGGGCAGTACCATTACCTGAGTTTAGGTCCTGTACCATATTTAAAAAAAAAAAAAAAAAAGGAGAAGGGCCAGGCGGTGTTAACACAAACCTTTAATCTCAGTACTCGGGAGGCAGAGTTTGAACCTAAGAGGCAGAGAGGATGTTTGAACCCAGACAAATCTACAGGACATCCAGGGCTACACAGAGAAACCCTGACTCTAAAGAAAGAAAGAAGGGAAGAAAGGAAGGAAAAAGGAAAGAAGAAAAAGGGAGGGAGGCAAGGACTGGACAGATCTCTCTCTCTCTCTCTCTCTCTCTCTCTCTCTCTCTCTCTCTCTCTGAGACAGGATTTCTCTGTGTAGTCCTGGCTGTCCTGGAACTCACTTTGTAGACCAGGCTGACCTCAAACTCACAGAGATCTGCCTGCTTCTGCATTTGTGAGCATGATGGCACATATATACATGCCAAAGGACAATTTGCAGGAATCAGTTCTTTCTCACTATGTGGGTCTTGGGGATGAAACCCAGGTCATCAGGCTTGGCAGCAAAAACCTGTACTCTGAACCATCTCTCAGGACTACTGCTTCCCTGCCCCCTTTACTATTCCATTTTGTGAAGGGAAAAAAAATAAAATTGCACAAGGATTTATTTCCATTTATTCTCTGTTTCAGTTAACTGGGAATAGAGGACATCGTTCATCCTGGTGGAAGCTGCACATGTCGGCGCTCCCTGGGAGCAGAAGTTCTGTGGGCCGTCTTCTCAGAGTGGAATCGGCTGTTCAAAGAGGGACAAATGACGACTGTTAGAAGAAGCCCCTGCCCCTGTGAGCCACTCCTCCCCTATGACTTTGCAGTTCACAGTGTGACTTTTCCTGCGCTCCAACTAATGACAGAGTCGATGTCCCTCTGTTTGGGCCTGGGCTTGCCTTGTGACTAGCCTGGGCCAGCAGAAGGCAATTGAAGGGATATTATGCTCCTGCCAAGGCAAAGCCCAAAGAAGTGAAGGCAACTTTGTCTTTTGGGTTTTATGTCAAAAAGCCAGGTCTATAGGTCTGGGGAAGGGGAGTGCCTTCGTTAGGATTTTTATTGCTGTGAAGAGACACTGTGACCATGACAACTCTTATAGGCTCGCTTACAGTTTCAGAGTTTCAGTCCATTATCATCATGGTGGGGAGCATAGCAGTGGGCGGGCAGACGTGTTGCTCGCTACATCTTGAGAAGCGGGCCACACAGGAAGTCGACTGAGTCACTGGGAGGTATCCTGAGCCTAGGAAACTTCAAAGTCTGGCCCCACAGTGTCACACTTCCTCCACCAAGGCCATATCCATTCCCAACACAACCACACCTCCCAATAGTGCCACTCCTATGAGATTACGGGGGCCAATTACATTCAAACTACCACGTGGACCCACCAGTGAAGTGCCTGCCACATAAGCACAAAGAGCCGAGTTTGATCCCCAACACCCATGTAAAAAGAGCCAGGTGTGGTCTGTAACCTTAACATGGAGGGTAGGGAGAAGTAGGGCAGTGATGGGAGAATGCCTGGAGCTCACTGTTCAGCCAGTCTAGCCAAGTTTGGGCACTGGATCCAGCGAGAGACATTGTTTCAAAAGGTGAGGTATGGGCTTCTGAGATGGTTCAGTGGAATTGAGGTGACTGTCGCTAAACCTCATGACTTGAGTTTGATCCCTGAGACCAACAAGGGTAAAAAAGAGAATCAACTTCTTTGATCTTACAAGTTTACCATGGCACGCATACACACACACACACACACACACACACACACACACACACACAATGTAGTAAAAAAATTGAAAAAATAAAAGATGATGGCAAATAGTTGAGGAAGACTCTTGCCATTAACCTCGGACCTCCACATGTGTGTATACACACATATGCACCAGTACTCACATGCATGCATACATTATGCACAGACACACACATTTTTTGTTTTTGTTTGTTTGTTTGTTTTTTGTTTTGTTTTTTGAGACAGAGTTGTCCTGAAGCTTTGGAGCCTGTACTGGAGCTAGCTATTGTAGACCAGGCTGACCTCGAACTCACAGAGATCCGTCTGCTGCTGCCTCCTGAGTGCTGGGATTAAAGACATGCACCACCACTGCCTGGCCCAGACACACAAATTTAAAACAAAATTTAAAGGCCAGGAAAAATCCACTGGACAGTAAGGAGCCACATGGAGAGGTACCCAGTGTCTTAGTCATTTTTCTTTTGATGCGATAAGATATCGTGACTAAGGTAACTTACTGTTTGCTTTTTTGTTTTTTGAGACACTGCTTCTTTGCGTAGCCCTGGCTGTCTTGAAACTCATTCTGTAGACCAGGCTGACCCTGAACCCACAGATCCTCCCGCTCTGCCTCCCACGTGCTGGGATTAAAGGCGTGTGCCACCACCACTCGAACTTATAAAAAGGATAGTTTAATTGAGTGTATGTTCTCATAGGGCTTGAATCTGTGATATGAAGAAAAACTTGGCAACAGGCAGCTGGAACAGCAATTGAGATCTCACATCTCGATCTCCAAGCAGGAGGTAGAGAGCAGACTGGAAATGGTGGGAGTCTTTTGACACCTCAAAGCACACCTCCTCTAACAAGGCCACACTTCCTACTCCTTCCCAAGGAGTTCTACCAACTAGGGACCAAGTATTCAAAATATGAGTCTTCTGGGGCCATTCATTCTCCCTTAAACCAACACACCCAGTCTACAGCCATACCATACTGATTGTAACCTGTCTTGGAAGTTAAGCACAGTTGGGCTTGTTTAGTCCTTGGTGAGAGAGGAAGACCTAGACATCAGGCGACAACTACAAACACATTGTATCAGTTGCCTCTCTCATTGCTAAGCATCATTCACATGGACTTCCCTTGCAAGGTGGGCTGAGACTGCCAGGGATTGCTGGCTATTTTTTTTCTTTCTTATTTTCTTTTTTTCTTGATATTTATTGAGCTCTACATTTTTCTCTGCTCCCTTCCCCCTTCAACCCTCTCCCAAGGTCCCCATGATTGCTGGTTATTTTATTTTTTGTTTGAGGCAGGGTCTTACCATGTATCCTTGGCTAGCCTCACTCATTGTGTAGACCAGGCTGACCTCAAACCCACAGAGATCCACCTGCCTCTGCCTCCCAAGCCCTGCTGCTGCTGCTGCAATTGATAGCCCATGCCACCACACTGAGCTGGGTAGCTGATTTCCTTACCCATTATGGGCTATGGAGGGAGGGAGGGAGGGAGGGAAGAAGTGAGGGAGAGAGGAAAGGAGGGAGGGAGGGAGTGGTGGCTGAAAGTAGTAGGGGGGCAGGGGGCATTCTTACTTCTCTCTATCCCCTGTTCAAAGCTTCTGAGGATTTCAGCTTAAAGCCTGTGCTCTGAGCCTTGGACACTGATGACACTCTGACAAGGAGTCTCTTACTTTTCACCCACTTGCGTCAGTGAATTAGTCAGGGTTCTCCAGAGGAACAGAACATACAGAATGAATGTCGCGAATGAACGTAGTGACCCAAGGGCTTATTAGATGGGTTTATTTGATTCAGGCTGGCTAGTCCAACAACTGCTGTCTGCATGCTGGAGAGGCTGGGAGCGCAGTAGCTGCTCAGTCCACCAGGCTAGCTGCCTCCACAGTCCTGATTGGCACTGAAGGCCTGGAGGATTTCTGGAGAGCTGTTGGTTCTTACTGGAAAACAAAAGCTGTGTTCTAGTGTCAGCTAGGGACAATGGTGGTGGCAGCAGCCAGAGTGGGATGGATGCACTGACCAGCAGGAAGTGAAGGCAAGTGAGCAAAAGGCAGGGCTCTGTCGTCTGATCTCTTCATACCTTGATTGCACTGGAAGCTTCCATCCACTCAGGAGGAGGGGCTTCCCCTCTTAGTTACTTCTTCTTCCAAATACCATATCGCCCCTCCCTGAGGCCTATCTCTGATTATATTCCGCATCCCACCAAGTTGATAACCAAGATTAACCATCACAGAGGATAGTTTGGGAGTAAAGGGGGTGGGACGGGGTGTATGACAACAGGCTTGTGTGCCCCCTTCCAGGTTTATGAGGGTACAGATTAAAGCCCAGCAGATGAGGCCCCTTCAGTTAGTCCTCCTAAGAGCCGGGTGCTTCAAGAACAGGTGCTCTGGTCGGTTAACTTCCTTTCCACCTGCAGAGACAGGAGGGCTCTTCCCCCTGCCCCCTCTAAGGCATCTCACCACCCTTGAACCTGGTTAAAGCACCCAGAGATTCCACCACGCAAAGATAGGCCTGAGCCTAACAGCCGGGTTAGCCAGTAGAGCGCTCACACCATCCATTTTCACCATTGAAATGGTGTTCCTGCCTGTGGCCAATTCCCAGAGAGGCTTCTGCTGGGCAACTTCCTGTGTGTCTCTCCTGGTTTGAGGTCATCAGTGTAGCCTAAGGTCTCTGATGGGTCTTAGCTGAATCACTAAGTTTCCAGCGTGTTCTTGTTGGGACAAGGTGGTGATTTCCAAGAATTTAACCTAACCAGTCCACAGATGAGAAGTCCTGCTGGATCATGGTCCAAACCAGCCTGGTCTCTATAGCAAGTTCCAGGCTAGCCCAGGCTACATAGTGAGACCCTGTCTCAAAATAAGCAAGTAAACACACAAAGAAACAAGCAACCTGCTTCCAGGCCACACATAAGTGTTGTGACTGCAGAGGAAATATTTTCCTATTATACTACGTAATTAGAGCTGATGAAAAGGACGGGCATTACCTTGCCAGGCAGCCCCAATAGCTGAGGAGGATGTGACCTCATTTGTGTTAAGGAGAAATGAAAGAGGAGTCCTTGCTCCGTGGTCTCCAATACTAACATTTCCACATTCATCCCTGTCAAGCTTGCTTTTCCTCCATCACTCAGGGGGAAAAAAATGTGTTTTATCTCCTCCGTTTCTAATAATCAGGTTACACATTTAAATTAGTTGAAAAATTGGCAAAGTGGGGGCTGGGAAGGTGGTTCAGTGGATAGAGCATTTACTATGCAAGCATGAGTTCAGTTCCTGGCACCCGGGAAGAGCCAGGCAGAGATGTATGTGCCTGTATTCCCCAGTCCTGGTCAGGGTAGAGATAAGGGGCTCCCAGACAGTCTAGCCAAAACAATGAGCTCCAGGTTCAGTGAAAGACCCTGCCTCAAAACATAAGGTGGGGAACAGTGGATGAAGACAGTAGAAGTTAACCTCTGGCTGACACATGTGTATACACACACACACATACAGCATACACACACAGAGACAGGGAGAGAGAGACAGGGAGAGAATAGCTGGGCCGTAATAGTACACGCCTTTAAACCCAGCATTCGAGAGGCAGAGGCTGGCAGAGCTCTGTGAGTTCGTGGACAGTCAGAGTGAGTTCCAGGACAGCCAGGGCTACACAGAGAAACCCTGTCGAGAGAGAGAGAGAGAGAGAGAGAGAGAGAGAGAGAGAGAGAGAGAGAGAAAGAGAGAGAGAGAGAGAGAGGCAAAGTGGTAAAGCAGTTACTCCTAGGCTCATCCCTTTTGTACCATCATTCCACTATATTTCCAACGGATGACACAGGTTTTGAAAGCCACCTAGGTGGTGCAGAGCGTCCTTGGTTTGTTTCTGGTTTTGTTTCCATTGAAGAGGTTGGACTAAACAGGCGCTATTGCCACCGGACTCCAAAGGACTATGATTCTGCGTTGCTATGGGGATAAGCTGATTCAAATGCACAGCATGTTCTGTTGCTAGGGCAATCGCTGACATCCTCACCTTTTCTGTCAGGAATGGCTTTGCCACTGATTTCACTTTCTTATTTATTTTGAGGGCGTGTATATGGTATATATGTGCATGTTCACGTGAGCAAATGTGCATATTTGTGTGAGCATGTGACGGCCAGAACACAACATGGGGAAGCTGGATCTCTCCTTCCACACATAGGAACCAGAGGAGACCTCAGATCCTAAGGGCTGGCAGCAAGCACCTTATTAAATGAGCTGTCTCCCTCACCCAAGTGCGAATTTCTAATGGCAAGGTGTTTGCCACCTTTCTCTCACTTTAAGAACTACCTGATAGACAGAGTTACTCTTCATCTATGATCCTGGATACAGCATAGCCCCCACCCCAACCCCTGTAGGTAATCTGTCTGTTAACTCTGGGCATATTATTTTATGCAATGTAAATGCTTTATTTTTTACTTTCATATAGTTGAATCTTATTGTTAGGAAACTTCCCTGGTCTGAAGATGTGGCTCCTTTGGTAGAGTGCTTGCTCTGCATGTATGAAGCCCTGGGTTTCATCCTCAACACCGCATAAACCAAGAATGGTAATGCACACCTGTAATCCAGCACTGGAGAGGCAGAGTTAGGAAGACCAAGCATTTACGGTCATCCTCAACTACACAGAAGTACTCAAGGTCAGCCTTGGATGTGTGAAACCAGATCTCAACAAAACAGCAATAGAAAACCTTTCCCTGTTAAAGATTGTGGGAGAATTTCTACATATTTGTGTTTTTCTCTGTGTATGGCTTAGTTTTTCTTCCTTTCCCTTTTCTCTGGAAAGGTTTCTGTGTGTGTGGCCCTGGCTGTCCTGGAACTCACGCTGTAGACCAGGCTGGCCTCAAACTCATAGAGATCTGCCTACTTCTACCTCCCAAGTATGGGGATCAAAGGAGTGCACCACCACCACCCGCTTTTTTTTTTCTTGGTGTGGTTTCATTTCTAGAAATTTTTTTTGTCGGGCAGTGGTGGCGCACGCCTTTAATCCCGGTACTCGGAAGGTAGAGGCAGGCAGATCTCTGTAAGTTTGAGGCCAGCCCCGTCAACAAAATGAGTTCCAGGACAGGCAGGACTGTTACACAGAGAAATCCTGTCTCAAAAAACTGAAATAAAAATCTTTTAAAAATTTTAATTAAGTGCATGTGAGTGTAAGTCTCTGAGGACTCAGAATTGGGTGTTGGATCCCTTCAAACTAGAGTTACAGGCAGTAGTTTCGAGCCACTTGATATGGGTGTGGAATAAAACCTGGGCCCTGTGCAAGACCAGCAAGTGCTCTTAACTGCCGACACGTTTCTCCAGCCTCTGGTCTCACCCCCCCCCCATTTCAATCTTTGGTTCATTTCAGATGTATCAGCTGCATGGAGTGAAGACTGGATCGCTTTCTGTTTCCATCAGTCCAACTGGCTATCCCAGCATCACACACGGGCGGCTTTTATCCCGTTTGCTGGCTCGAGATGCTATCTGTATTGCATGCTGGCTTTGCATCTGTGGTGGCTTCTATTCCTAGATTCCATTTTTCCTGCTTCCCTGTGGTGTCTGCAAATGATAGCGTCTTGATTTAACGACAAAAGCTTAAAATATGGCTCAATATATGGCCACCCGCTGTCTTTCAAGAATTGCCTGGCTTGCCTTAATTTTTTTTGTCTCAAAATGATACTCAACTTGTCTCTAACTTAAAGATGGGGGAAATGAACAGTGTTTTTATTGAGTTCATGTCTGGTTTATTGATTCACCCAGAGAAGATGGGTGTCCCCAGGAAATTAAACCTATCCAACAATGGGCATGTCTTTACATTTGATCCCTTTGATCCCATCTGCGTTTTGTTATTCAAGTGTTCACGCTTTTATTCCCTGTGAGTTCTGAATATCTCTTTTAAAGCTTATGACTCATTTTCTTCATTTTAATTAATTTTTCATTTAATAGTTTATTTTTTTATATTTTTGAGATAGGGTCTTCATTTTCCTCAGCTAACTTATTTCTACAAAGTTGACCTAGAACTATGCTCAGTCTACATCCATCTCTCTTCCCCTGCACTTCCTTCCTCCCCACCCCCTTCTTCATGGTCATCCTTTGTAAGCCTGGAGAAAAAAGATAACTTTTATCGGGTATGAATGTATGTATATGTATGTGGGTAGCATGTTACCCAGTGCCGGTGGAAATTATAGGATCTCTTGGAACTGAAATCCACTCCCACCCCCCAACCAGACAGGGTTTCTCTGTCTAGCTTTGGAGCCTATCCTGGCACTCACTCTGCAGACCAGGCTGACTTCGAACTCACAGAGATCCACCTGCCTCTGCCTCTCACGTGCTGGAATTAAAGGGGTGTGCCACCACCCGCCAGAACTGAAGTTTTTAATGGCAATCAAACCCAAGCTCTCTGCAAAGCATGAAGTGCTTTAGACCTGTGGTTCTCAACCTGTGGGTTGGGAACCCAGGATGTGCTGAACAATCTTTCACAGAGGTCGCCTAAGACCATCTGAAAAAAAAAATAGGCATTTACATTACGAGTCGTAACAATGGCAAAATTGCAGTTATGAAGTAGAAATGAAAATAATTTTATACTTGGGGCTCACCACAACATGCGGAAGTAAAGGGTCGCAGCATTGGGAAGGTTGAGAGCTAGAGCTCTGGACCTTTGAGCCATCTCTACTGCCCCCAAGTGTTGAGATCTTCTGATAATTACTTCTGCACGATCGCGCGGGGCAAATCCACGTGGTATCCTCGATGGATACAATTGGTACGCTAGAGGATGTAGTGCATCACAACTTCCAGGACCCGGGGTGCCACGAAAGCGTCTTCCGGCCAGGCCACGTAGCTAATGGGAGTCGGGAACTGGGTCACGTCACCGGGCCCTGTCAGGCTGTAGACGGAAATGCGTCATTGATGACCGGAAACGCCTTGCTCCACTTTGCCGCGGTGACCTTCGGGAGTTGTATTCTATTCACCCACAGGTGTGGGGTTCTTGATGCTTGTTTTCAGGGGTCGGACGCGGATGTGTGTACTCCTGGACAGTACACACTTCCAAGCAGTACGGTGGCAGCTGCTGTCCCAGCTGCTCCCAGAAGCATAGCTTTGCTCTTTGGCAGTGCAGAGTATGGTTTCTGTAGAGCGGCTGTGTTGTGCATGGTCCGGGTGTAGAGGTCCTTCTAACGTAGGGACCCACCCATGTCGTGAGAGTCCTTAGGTCTGCGTCCAGCCAATCATCTCACTGACTATCTCTTCTTCTGCTCTGCCTACTCAGAGCCCTGGTCCAGCAGAGTCTGCCAGATGTCATGACACTACGGACCCCAGAAAGTTGTCCGGATATCACCCCTTCTTTCCCGAGAACATTTCCTTTCATCCCTCACTTGTAGCTTCACTGTCCATCCAGGTACCTGAACGCCACTCCTGTCCACGCCTGTGTTTGGGTTTCTAGAGGAAGGAGGAGCTGCCAAGAAAAGGCAGTGCACCCCACTCCTTCAGAGAATATTTGCCCTTCTTCCACAGTCTTCCCTGGCTACTGCTGACCCCACCTTACAGCCAGCGTTAAATTCAGAGCAGTGAGCAAATTCAAGGAAGGTTTTTGAAAGTGTTTTTAATTTCAGGAGGTCTGAACTCATTTAAGACGTGGAGTTGAGTGGTTGTGGTGCATGTCTTAATCCCAGGAAGGAGGTAGACCTCAGAGTTCGAGGTCAGCCTGGTCTACAGAACAAGTTTCAGGACAGCCAGGGCTACACAGAGAAACCCTATCTCAACAAAAGAAAACAACACCAAAACAAATAAAAACAAAGCAAAATGCATCACCACCCCCAACTAAAAGAAAGAAAAGAAGGAAAGAAAGAGAGGCCTGGAGAGATGGCTCAGTGGTTAAGAGCACTGGCTGCTCTTCCAGAGGACCCTGGTTCAATTCCCAGCACCTATATGACAACTCACAGCTGTCTGTAATGCCCGTTCCAGGGGATCCAGAATCCTCACACAGGCATGCATGCATGCAGGCAAAGCACCAACACACATAAAATAAAAATGAATTATTAACAAAAAAGAAAGAAAAACTCGTGAGCTCTTATAGAGGACCAAAGTTGAATTCCCATTACCAACTTTGAGTGACGCATGACTGTAACTCTAGCTCTAGGGGATCTGCACCGTCTAGCTCTAGGGGATCTGCACCGTCT